TGTCTTGGCCCGTCCTCGAATTTTATTACAGCGTGCCATCGCCGTTCTAAGCCTTTGGAGTCGGCTTTCAACAGAATCAGTATCACCGACACTATATGACTAATTGTCAGCTTCCACTTGTGTGATTTACCCTTCTAGATTAATTCTATATAGTCCCACCACGACCTCTATCTGTGAGCCATCTGCGTTCGTCAGTTTCCGTTTTACATTATTCGCTGCCGTCGAGGTTCCATCGTACGGCGATTTCTGCTGTAATACCATGGTGGACACTATGGCCAGGCCACCCGACTCGTGGGCCCAGGACCCTTACGCTCCTCGACATGGTTCTTACTACCCTCAAGAGCAACGCGGCCATGAGCTACGTTTGCCTCCACTGCCTAGCCTAGTGACCGGACCACACGTGAATCAAGAGCTTCATAGACAGCAACCGGCGGCCTATGGGCATACTCAGTATGGGGAACCCTATGCAGCCTCTCCGCCTATCCATCACAGTCCACGGCCACCAATGCCAGGCTCTGAGTTACACACGATGGCACCGAGTCCTTACACCAGACGGCCAGTAGAAGCAAGCGTCTGTGCCCGCCCCGCACACTCGCCGAGTATAGGTAGCCGGTCCGGAGGGACGCCGGAGCGTATCCAACTACGGCAACCGGGCGGCGAGCCGAGCCCCTTACAGGCTCACAGATTACCTTTACAAGCAAGGTCAGCGGGGGAGTCGCCTCGACAGCGTCACTACGCGGAAATTCACGCAGTTAGATCTGCTTCAGAATATCCACAACACGACCTTCGTCTTCAGCATTCTCCACGAACGATAGATGCTCCACGGCAGACGTGGCAACCCCAACCTGAATCTCGTGCCCCCGAGCGGATGAGGATATCGGAACTATTAAGCGACGAACCGAGAACCGGAGAGTCAGGCTCCTCTAAGGCACCAGAGCGTAGAAAAACTCCCGCCGCTGCCCCTTCGACGTATAGGCTAAAGGTCCGCCAGCAACCGGTTGCTGCTAGGTCTTGTGGTTTTGGCGAGAGGGATCGCAGAGTTATTGACCCGCCTCCAATAGTCCAAGTATTTATCGAAGACACCAAGGCCTCGCAAGAGGAAATTCGTGCCCAACTCAAGTTCCGATTCTCGGTCATGCATTGTACGATATGGAACGAGACAGGTGACCAAGACTGCTCGGGTATGCCAGATGACTATCGTCAGCAGCGAAGACTCATGGGAACGATAGTGTCATCACCTTTCGTCGGGTTTGACGAAAATAACGAAGAGGGATGCTTCTTCTGCTTCCCTGATTTATCCTGCCGGACTCCTGGCACCTTTCGGTTGAGATTTAGTCTGGTGGTTCTGGACCCAAATTCGGTACCCGGGTCAAGAACTCCAGTATGTGCCATCGCCATGAGCGATGTATTCACAGTTTATAACGCTAAGGATTTCCCGGGAATGCGAGCAAGCACGGCACTAACGAAGAGGTTGAAGGAGCAAGGATGTCTTATTTCTATTAAAAAGGGAAACGAGAGGAGTCATGCACGCGACGATAGCGACGAGGAAGAAGAAGAGGAAGAAGACGGCGGGAGTTCGGCACAACGACGAGCGAAGCGGACTAGAAAATCATGACATTCTCTAAAGGATTACCCTTTTTTTTTTTTTTTTTTTTTTTTTTTGACGAGCTTAAGCTTTAAGATAAGCTACAAGCTACTCTACCACGGCAGCTTGCAATTTACGAATAAAAAAACACAGCATAGTTGTCCATGAGCGTATTACTACCTCATGGCTTGGACATAACGGCTTGTACGGAAAATAACGAAGGGGCATATACGCGACACGTCACATAGAGACGGACAAGAGGAACATACATGCTTACAACGACTGTGCTGGTATGGAAACGATATGGGGTTAGAAGGGAAGCGCTGGTTTGTTTGACTTCTTGTATTCGAATGACTAAGTTTTGGACAGCGTCCTGGAATCGTTTATGGAATACGTTATGGAATACCCTAGATCTACCTCAGGCTCGATTTTGGACGAGATCACGGAATTTACGATTGGAACATTTAAGGGAGGACGGTTAGAATTATTACCCATTTACCACTTAGCCTTGTTTGATCGATCGTATTGCGAACCCTGTATAGGTAGGTATCTTTTTGGCGCCATGCATCTTCAAATATTCGAATATTCACTTAAGAATAAGTATGTGACCAAACAAAGTGCCGCTGTTCTTCTGCTGTTTTTCTGCTAGTTCTTTACTGTTTCTCCTAACGAAGTAAGTCAGTTGAGCCGATTGTAACCTACCAATTTGCACGTAAGGGGGTAACCTAGAGATTTATATCTTTATACATAGTACAAATACGATATGAAGCACGATAAGATTAGCAAGATAAGATTAGATACCTACATTAATAGGTAAACACCAATTTATAGAATTTTGATAGAAGATGCCAAGAATTTCAAGGGTCTTTCCTTTTTTAGTTTAGATTAGCTCTCAACAAGCTTATCTTAGGCTCCGCAACGGAGGAATTAGTACTAATCACGGACTAGTGTCACTTGAGGCACAGTAGTCTAAGTCAGCTTCAACCCGCCGGGACTGCCCCAAGGAAAAAGTCGGGCGGAAAATCCCAACGTTGAATTTTTGAGTGACTTTCCGTCCGGAGCTCTCCATCTTCTAAAACTCCAATTCCTAATCCTCAATTCCCACCTTATAGCAAACAAGACTCCCAATATCTAAGCCAAACGATACCTAACCTAGCTCGGGCTTTTACTTCAACCTTCAATCTTCTTCCCCTCCAAGGTTCCTCCCTCCTCTTCGTCACGACAACGGCCACAATGTTCTCGCGCGCTCTGCGAGTCCCGAGAGCCGCAGCGCCTTTAGCGCGTGTCCGAGCTGCCAGACCTGTTGCTATTGCACCTTTTCGTTCAGTCACTACAAATGCTGCTAGCTCGCATGCCGACAAGAACGACGTTCCCGATGCCGACGATCAGCCCTTTCAAGTCACCCTAAGTGACGAGAGTTTCGAGACATATGAGCTCGACCCTCCTCCCTATACTCTCGACGTCACCAAGAAGGAGCTTAAGCAGATGTACTACGACATGGTCGTTGTCAGGTAAGCGTCGCAATTGGCAAAAACGGCCTGCCGCTTTCGACCGAGCCATGTTTACTAACAGCCGCACAGACAAATGGAGATGGCTGCCGACCGATTGTATAAGGAGAAGAAGATTCGAGGTTTCTGCCATCTTTCCACAGGTCAAGAGGCTGTCGCCATCGGTATCGAGCACGCATTGACCAAGGAGGACGATGTCATTACCGCCTACCGATGCCACGGCTTCGCCCTGATGCGCGGAGGTACCGTTAGATCCATTATTGGTGAGCTACTGGGCCGACGTGAGGGTATCGCCTACGGAAAGGGTGGTTCCATGCATATGTTCACCAAGGGCTTCTACGGCGGTAACGGTATCGTCGGTGCCCAGGTCCCCGTCGGTGCTGGCTTGGCTTTTGCGCACAAGTACAACAACACCAAGAAGGCCGCTGTTATCTTGTACGGTGACGGTGCTAGCAACCAGGGTCAGGTTTTCGAGGCTTTCAACATGGCTAAGCTATGGAACCTGCCCGCTCTATTCGGCTGCGAGAGTATGTGCTCGATATGATGATCGTTTGTCATGACTAACATGTTTTAGACAACAAGTATGGTATGGGTACTGCTGCTGCTCGATCGTCTGCTCTTACCGACTACTATAAGCGTGGCCAGTACATCCCCGGTCTTAAAGTAAACGGCATGGACGTCCTTGCGGTGAAGGCCGCTGTCAAGTACGGCAAGGAATGGACCGTTGCCGAAAATGGCCCCCTAGTTCTTGAATACGTCACATACCGATACGGTGGTCACTCCATGTCCGACCCCGGCACCACGTACCGAACCCGTGAGGAAATCCAGCGCATGCGATCGACCAACGACCCTATCGCCGGTCTCAAGCATAAGATCCTCGACTGGGCAGTCTGCACCGAGGAAGAGCTGAAGACGATCGACAAGGAGGCCCGCAAACACGTCAACGACGAGGTCGCCATCGCTGAGGCTATGCCCGTCCCCGAGACCACGCCGCAAATCCTGTACGAGGACATCTACGTCAAAGGAACGGAGCCGCAGTTCATGCGTGGCCGCACGCCCGACGAGAACTTCTACTTCAGCTCGTAAATATTCGGCCGTTGGAGTATAGTAAGCGCCGGACGTGAATGAAGCATTAAAATATCCCCTTTTTTGCAACACCCCTGTAGTGTAAAATAGATGGGCAGGCTAGGCTGGGGGGAGGGCTGGAGTAATGAATGAAGAAGTCAAATGTTTCGATTACGCCCCAATCATCAATGTAGCTAGCTAGGAGGTAGCTATCCATCCGCGTGACTGGAACCTGATCTAGTCGAAGCAAGCCTTGTTTGCGGCTCTGGGGGGGAATAGACGAGCGATGATACCAGGTTCTTCTGCCGCGTGCCTTGTGTTTGGATGACAGTAGTGACTGAGTTATTTGCTTCGCATGATGGTTTTATAACTCCGGTGCTTTAGTGACTCGTGTATGTGGGTTAGTTATGGAGGGCGAATGGGATAGTGTAACAAATGAGTTGCGTATATCAAGTTACCGTTACATCTTGAAGCCCTACACCCACCCCATTTGCGAATTTGTTAATTTCATTTAGCATGTGTTCCTACGGAATCATATCACACACATTGCTATCATTTCGACTCCTCGATTATAGGAGAAGAAACCCGTAGGTGTCGGCTCACAGGCATCAAAGTAGACTTAATAATTTGCCAAAGAGGAAAAAATTTAATATATCCATATCCTATTCTTTTCTCCTTCTAGTTATACGTTATCCCCCTTTAACCTACACGATTAGAAGATAGAACATGGCATAGCATATGATCACTTAGAACGCCGATAGAACTTTCCTTGACATGTCTAACACAGCCGAGATTCTTTACCCCCCAACCCCCCTTCCCCCCAACCCCCCTTTTTATTATTTTCCGTTTTCCTATCGTCTCCCCCTCCTCCCTCTTTTTCCAACCTCGCCCTCCTTACCGCTACCGCATGTTATCCCAGCTCCCCCACCACCGACAACTCTGCGCCACAGCCGTAGCACTAGCCAACGCGTCACGCACCCGACCCTCGGGGTCCCGCAGCCGGTGGCCCTCGAACTCGACGAAGAAGACGTACTGGAAAGGCTGCGCTAGGCTCGGCCGGCTGTTGATGCTGGTCAGGTTGAGGCGCGCGCGGCGGAAACACTCGAGCACGTCGGCGAGGGCGCCGGGGGATCGGTGCGGGACGGTGAAGGACGCGAGCGATTTGCTCTGCGAGTAGATGTCGCTAGGCCCGTCCCCGTCTGCGTCTTGGTGTTGCCGCCGCTTGCTGAGGACTTCTTCTAGCGCCGGGATAGGAGGCGTGGGGGAGGCGGAGTCGGCGCTGCGCCGCACTACGAAAAACCGCGTCGTGTTGTCCTCGCGGTCCTCGATGCTGCGCGCCAGGACATCCAGGCCAAGAACCTGCGCCGCGGTAGCGCTTGAGATGGCGGCGCTTGTGCCGGTCGCGTCTTCCTTGGCTAGAGTGGCGGCGCGGCTGGTCGAGCTGACGTCTACAGTCTCGACGCCCCGCAGGATCTCGCGTAGGAACTTGGTGCACTGTCCGAAGGCCTGGGGGTGGCTGTACACGCGTCTGACGTGCGTTAGGTTCAGGTGGTTGCAGTGGTGGTAATGGCCGACTAGGCAGTGGTGCACGTCGAGGTAGATCTCGGCGCACACGGCTAGATCGGGATACTCGCCGGCGCGGTCGGCGAGCTGGTCCAGGGTAAGCACCACGGAGCCGTTTGACGAGTTCTCGAAGGGCACGACGCCGCAGGCTGCGCGGCCGGATTGCGTTGTGTCGAAGATGTCTTTATTCCCGGGGGAGGGAAGTGTTATTTAGTCTTAAGATATACGTATGTATGTAGTAATATAGTGAAAGATTGATTACCTTTGATCGTGTCTACGGGGAGGAAGTCAAATTTGTCTGTGGGAAATGTGTCTAGCGTAGCCTGCGCGGTTAAGCGAAGATTGTTGTCGTTAGTTTTTGAGTGTAGAGAGCGCCGCCCCGAACGAGAGGTTAGTTGATGAGAGTTGAGGTTCGTGACGTACCTGGTGTGTATAAGATGAGACCGGACCTAGAAAGCACACAGTCGGCTTTGCATCCGGGTCATTTTCCTGCTGTTGTCCGCTTCTTGACCCCATCACGATTATCTTCGTTTCCGTCTCGTAAGATCTCGTAAGATGCTATGAAAAAGAAGAAGAAAAACAGGTTAAGAAGGACACAATGAAGAACCAGACAGGCCAGCCGGTTAGCTATAATTATAATCCTGGCTTAGAGAAAGAAATACCCTCGGTGTCGTCCTCGGGTACATGGATTATAATTCCGAATTTCTTTGTTATAGCCTCACTTAGGACCCATTACTTGTCGATGAAAGGGAGGCCGAGTTGAGTAAAGGGCGCATCGTCCAGATCAAATGTAGACTTTTGACATGGACCCGATCTCCGGAAGCCGATCGCAAGCAAGCGCCCCGGCGGTGCCACGGAGCCTAGTGCCATTAAATCTAGTCAAATTAACCCTAGCGGCATGAATTTAGCCCATCTATCCATGTACATAGGGCGGCTACAACCGGGCATATTAGCCAAGCCCTAAAAAGATATACGTAGGTACATGGGTATGTAGCACCTATTTCATCTCGACTATGATACCTTTATCGATGCCATCAAATATACATGTAAAATTAACATCTCACTTGTTGGTCACATCCAGGATCATATGCATCCTCAGATCCTCAGGTTGGTAATGAGTGACTCATATGCTTTATTGTACTATCTAACTAAAACGAGTGTGATGAGTGGCTTGCCACTGCGAAATCATTTCGCAAATACCAACTCTAAACGCAACGCAATATCTGGGAACAACTGTCCAGTATAACAAGAAACAGAATATACTAGTGTGTCAAACTTGCAGTGAGGCGAGCAAGCTTGTCATATCGCACTTGCTCGACTGCTTAAAGGATGAAGCTCTATGATGTAGGCAGGTCCAACAACTCTGGACATTTGATAGACCCCCAGGTATAGCATCTTTGCGATCCGCGTTAGTCACATGTCTCACTATGCTATAGCTGTGAAAGTCATACCTCCTTTCTATGCCATAAGTTAACTCAAGCCATCATCATAGAGCGAAGCGGGCTAGGTGTCGCCACCTGTCTGGCCGTGTGTTCCGAATTTGCGGGGCCAGATTTCGCTAAACGTCGCTGAGCGAACGAAGTTGCCTTTGATTTTCGCGCTGGTCCGGAGACTGGCGCCGGGGCTGGCGCGGGGGGTTGCGGCAGCGGACGCTCCGGTGCTTTCACGACAGGTGCCTGCTTAGATGGGACAGCTTGAGCTTGCCCCTCGTCGAGAACGAGGGATTCCTCAAACTATATACGCGCTCACGTTAGTGGTTATATAGAAAAAGACTTGAGAGGCATTGTTGAGAGAATAGGATTTCTTTTCACGATGTTTTTGGGCTTTGACATAAAATAACTGTTGTCTTCATACCTGTCAATCGTCGTAGTAGTCATCATCGTCATCCACTTCGGCCAACTGCTCGAAGTTCACCTTGTAACGGAGAATACCACCAACACCACCGAATCCCTTGACGAACTGATTGCCTTCGGTCGACCTATCCGATACGAATTCTAGGTTGGTTCCGAAATCCTTGTAGTGCTCTGCAATCCACTCGAGGAAAGAATCCTGGGAAACTACTTCCATCTCCTGTCCGGTTTCCTTGTCCATGAACTTGGATCGGTCACCAGTCTCCTGCTGCTTAGTAGTGTGGAGAATGATCTCAGCGTTGTTGCTATCCTTAAGGACCCATCGCGTAATCTCGAGATTCTCGAAGACGATCAACGTCTCCACTGCGCCGAGCTCCAGCGCCTTGAGCGTATCCTCGATACCATAGCAGACCTTGCCGGTATCCTGGCTGATCTCCTCAAAGTACTTGCCAATGAGCTTCTTCTCCTGGATAAACTTGACATTTCCCAGAGTCTCAGAAGACAACTCGATAGCTTGGTTGAAGCCGTTCTCGCCACCGTACGACACGTCGACAACCTTAATAACCTTGCTCTGTAGCCGGTTGTCGAACATATCCGAGGCATTGAGATCGTTTTTGAAGTCAGCAGAACCAGCAAGGATGATACCAGCAACATTGACCTTGTCGTTCGTGATAAAATTCTGAACAGCCAACTCGGCAACTTTTCGGACGTAGTTGTGTCGCTTCTCTTCTCTGAGACGCGCGAAACGAAGGGCAGATTGTCCACCACGACCGTGCTTCTTGGGTAGATCAACCGAGAATTTGTGAACAACATCACGAGTATTTCCGCTAAGAGTACCGAAAAGAGCACCATTACCATCCATGACAATAAAACCAAATTTCTGATCGGATTCAAGCAGCTCGGCTAAGGCTTCGGTATGGAACTTGTTGTCGCAGAGGTACAGGGAAGTGTTGATAGGCTTGAAGGGCTCAAAGTCGATGTTGACCTTTCGTTCCTTTCCTTCCGAAGTCAAGATTTCACCGCAGTAGACAACAAGACCGTTAGGAGGGACCTTGTTGTACAGCTTAAGTCGCTGCTGGGTAGAGGTGATGGCGGAAAGCACAGACTGTCGGTTGACACGAGACTTGATATTCGAGGCGGTTCCCTAGCATTAACGGTCAGCCTATTCTCCTGGGTTAAGTTGCGGTGGCAGACGTGGGGTGCGACATACATATTCTTCAGCCAACATCTTTGCTGCGCGCGAAATCTGATCCTTGGGAGCTATTCCTAGGGTTTAGTATTGTTTTCTATCCAAGTCAAAGTCAAAGTGGGGGAGGGGTAAATTACATACGGATGATTAAAGAAATCATGCTGGTGCCATTTCCTCGAGCAGCCTCAAGGCGTTTGATCAGCTTCTTGACCTTCCATATCTCAATCTGTAGGCGCCATTATTGTTAGATTAGTATTCCTTAAGAGATATAAGAAGAGAACACCTTGGGGGGGCAAATCTGATGGGGCGGTGGAGATGCCGAAGGCTGAAGGAGACTATGGAGTATTTATGACGATGTGCGCACTTACGTTCTTCTCAGCCTCTGTCGCCTGGGCGTCACTCATTTTGGCGTGAGGATAATGAGCGATTCAAGATACGGCCTTTCTTCAGTAGAGTGATGCTTGGGGGTGGTGAAAGATCGATCGTATTAGGTGCAGAAGAGAAAAAGGTTGGACGAAATTTTGTGGTCGAAGGAAACAAGGAAGCGCAGGCGGGCCCTGGGAGTTTGCGAGGTACATACGTCGAAAATGCATTAAGTGCATGAATATTTAGTATTTCCTAAGCAAAAATAGACGCTTCCACCATGGCGGGGGTACCTCTTAGCGGTATCTTAGCGGTATGTATTGATCCCTTTCAAGCCACATCCTGGCGTAGTTGCCCCGTTGCTCGAGCATGGACGACCACTAACCGTGCATGGTTAGAGTTCCATAATAGCATAAGCTAAGTGGCGCTAATGAATTGAAATTTGACCGCCTTCAGACGGCTAGGCTGACTCTTGCCCGTGACTCCTAAAGTCCGCACTGACCTTTTTGACCGGTGAGTCGCAACCATGTTCGCTCATCTCAAAAACAACACGTCAATCGACATTATTCGGCAGTTTCCAGGGTTAGCTATCAACAGCCCTTTCTTGTTATAACCGATGAGACGCTATTTAATGCATAGGTATATGAGATGACAAATCCCACAGTATTGGGAAAATGTTGTATTCTTTGGCCTTCCTCATACATACAAGAAGATTGTGATGACAGCCTCGGGGCTGAAGCTTTGACAGAATGATCAGGATGTCAACCTATCAAGAACTATCTTGGTTAGTTCGGGTTCTGATGCGCTGAAAGTTGGCGCGCTAGGACGTGGATGTGATGATCACCATGTGGGAATGACAATGGATGCGAGGGGGCCGTAGCAAAAGACAGTTGAGCCACCGCTCCTGGGCTATCGTCCACACCTCCACCATCACCTCGCGTAGGAGCCTGCATCCATTATGATTCGTCCACATGTCGATAAATACCTACTTTTTGCTGCAACTACTGGTTGACTTATACACTATATGTCAATTATGAGGCTTCATCTTTGGAAGCTTCTTGCTGTGTGAGCTCAACTGCTTACTCAATTTGGCAACTGACTATACTATAGTTAGTAGTTATGTCATTTGTTAACTGTGCAGGCGCAGAAGAAGTCTAAAAGGTCGCGATTGAAGAAAAAATTGCCCGGCAATGGTTTACAATGTTGAGCGGGTCGCGGGTCGCGGGTTTGGAACTGCAATGGAACTTCAAGGTTCCCCTTGTACGGATGTCACGAGAAAGAGGCAAGCCAATGGCAAAGGATCTATGGGACGAGGCCATTGATCGGGAAAACAGCTATTCGTATTGAATTGGCGTTGGGCGACATACAGAGATGGCCACTGCAACATGGATTACGTCACAGCTTGTTTGCATGTAGCTGTCATTTTACCCCTGGCTATCCGTGCAGCTAAGAAAATTACCCTACCACCCTCGATGGAAGTAAGTTGGGGCAGTTTTTACTTGCTCACGATAGCTTCAATTTCCAGGTCTCGGCTGGAAATTCTGCCGGTTGCGGTCTTTGTTGCTCAAACCCGAGGTGGAGCCAAGCGGCTGGGCCAAACTCACCGCGATGCAACGGCAAGACACGGAGCACAAAACAACAAACATGCGGGCTATCGATACGATGCACGATGCACGATGCACGATTCAATCGAGGTAAGACGAAGTTAGATTATACGAATCTAGCTTATATTTTCCGGATTTGACTTACTGTATTATATACTAGTGTTCTTCACATCTATTATTATTTTTTGGAGCATGTTACATTCGGCCCATCTCGAGTCAATTGGGCATTCCGGTTGAGACCGAACAGTTTGTATGTACCGACCGACGGAACGATCAACATGTTATATGAAATTGGTTTACAGTAGCCCAGCAGATTCGGCGAAGCTACCATTGCTTGAGATGATACTACCTCGGATATGGGTGTTGTTGGGCTTACCATACTGGTACCTACTGATAGTTGATGACTTATGGGGTAATAAGATTAGGATAGGAGTATTTTGGTTGACGAGAGGTGTTGGGGTGGATGAATACGATGACAAGAGACGGGAGGTGGTGACGTTGGACCAGTGATAAAGGATTGGGCTTGGCTACGGAGGCGGCTTTGACCATGATCACGACGGACTCGGGGGATGGATGACCTACCTTATCGGCTTTGGATGAGAAGATATGAGAAGGGGAGGCTGGGGGATACCTATGGGTATAAGCTTTACATACAAGATGTACCTTAGCTCCTCAAGTATAGGTGTTAGGTAGCTGGCCTTTAAGTAGAAGGTAGATAGATAGCTGGTCTTAGGTAGGTAGCTGGTCCTATGTTTTGTAGCTTAGCAAATGCTGAACCTATCAGATCTGGTCTTTCCTTCCCCTGGTTGATTTTGCGGCTCAAGCCTAATAAGGGTGTAATTTTAGCGTTTCCCAAGTTTCCCAAGTTTCCCAAATTTCGTGGGCTCCTTGACTTTCTCAGACCTCCACACTTTAATACATCCCACCTTTCCTTTGACCATCTACATCTACGACAATCGCGTCTTTGGAGCGACGACAATACCGCACAACATGGCCGACGATGATTCTAGCGAGCTTTCTTCTGTGTCGTCATTATCTTCTGCCCCCTCTGAAGATGATAGCGATATCGAGGTGAAGCGAGAAAAGGGCATCCTAAAGTTCTTTCATAAGCTTCCCCCGGGTACCAAGCCTGCAGAGCCTAAGAAAGAGGCAACTCCTCCGCCACGCAAACGATCACCTTCGCCAGCTCATGAATACATTCTAGCTGATAATCCAGACGTTGCAGTATGTCATAGACTCTTTTGTCGCGCCAAAAACGCGAAATGTCGCGTCGTTTTTACATGAGCTAACCACCTATTTAACTACCTCTAGTTTATTGTCATGTTCCGTGCCCGTTTTAACGAGTCTCTTCCTAAATCCTTAGCCAACTTTGGCCCTCAGGAACTTGAGCGTGACGTATCCGAACCGGTTCCTGGCGAACGTGTTGAACATTTCCTCTGTGCTGTTCTCAGCCTTTTGCTGAATCGCAAGCAAGATGTCAAGTATGACGCAATACCCAACCTCGACCCTACCAAAAAAAAACCCTTTTACAGATGTAGACTCTAACACCTGCTACTAATAGACCTGGACATTATAATCGAGCGCTAGAAGATGCTATTAGTTCGCACAAGAACCAGTGGGCGCGAGATTGGAAAGATGAGAATCCTCTGGCTGGAAGTAGGACTTTTGCCTCTATGGATCCTACCGAAAGAGTATGCATAACCCTCCAGGCGCAATAATTCTCTTTCTCACTATAGGATGCGGCAATTACTAACATGATGGGTTATCTAGTTAACACTGCTACGAACTCTCGTAGTTTGGACCCTATCGTCCTCGGAAGTCATCAAGGGTATTATCAATAAATCCTACAAAGGAAATCGACACGAAGACGATCTTAACCAACCTCTATCCGTACAGCCTTGGGGATCCGACAGTGACAAGCGCCGCTATTATTTGATCGAAGGTCTAGATGATACCCATTTCCGAGTCTATCGCGAGAGCAACCCACAGGGCTTTAACAGAACATGGTGGAGTGTGGCAGGCAGTATAGACGAACTCAAAGTTCTTGCAGAGAAGCTGCAGAAATCCGATGGCGGCCCAAAGGCCAAGAAATTGGCACATAAGATGCTGGCTGCTGTCCCCCGCTTTGAAGCTACTGAAGAAAAGCGCAAGCGCCGTGAGTACCGCCTCATGCGCAAAGAGCAGTTCAAGCGCCCAGAGAACAATTACTCCATGTACGAAGGCCGAACTAGAGGCAAACGAATAAAGTATACCTATTCCGACGAGGAGGATTTCTTAACCGATTCCTCCGTACGACGATCTTCGCGAAATACCCGCAACCCTACACCAGCAGAGTCCGCTGGTCCCGTTACTACTGCCAGTGGTCGCCAAATCAAAGCCCCGTCGCGCATGACAGTAGACGCTTCAAACAATATCGTCACAACAAGCCCAACTAGTCAAGGCCACAATGAGGCCACTGCGTCAAAGGAGTCGTCAGTCGGTCCCACTGGTCGACCCAGACGATCAGCTGCTGTCAATCATGGCACAAACGGTTGGGCGCCATCATCTAAGAAGGCAAAGAAATATAACTCCGATGATGATATGGAGGATTATGATGACGAGGAGGATACTGAACCAGAACTAGGCGACGATGAGCAAGATCATGTCCCCGATGACGACAGCGAAGATGAAGATGATTTCAACGAGGACGAAGAGATGGTCGATGATGACTTAAGTGATCCCAATGGAAAGGACAGTATGATGGTCAAGCTTAAGCTTCCATCGAAGACATCCGGCTCTACCGGGTCAGCACTCAACTTAGATGAATATCGGTACAATGGGAAGAAGGACAACTCCAGGGTTCCGACATCAGCGATAGAGAACGGTGCAGCCCAGAAAGATTCCACGCCGGAGGAGAAGAGCGAGGAGGTCATATCAGTAGCAACGACGAAAAAGCAGGCCACCCCGGATCCGGAGCCCTCTACCACCGTGAAGAATGAGCAGCGCCAACGCCCTCCTTCAACCCCCGCACTGAACTCGCTTCAGTCGACCTCGTTGGCTTTTAGGGAAAGCCCGGATAAGGTCCAACAAGCTCTACCTAAGCATGTCGACGTCAGTGCCGGGGAGTAAAACAACTTGACGGATATCTTGCCAGTTTTTTAGCCTCGGAGAGGCCTGGAGGGTAATAGCGCGTAATGTATTTCCTATTATTTGAGAGGAAATATTTGCGTATGACTTGCAGCTTAACTTGCAAAAGGGCTGCTGTGATCCTCGGGAAACGGCAGAAAATGTAGTCTGCGACCTTTGCGGATATATCAACCACAGCATTAACATAAAGTAAAACTGAGGGCGAAAGTGAAGGCAAGGAACAGTAGCGTTGTTCTGCTGATGTACAGACAAACAATGATATACAGACAGACAGGCAGGCAGGCAGATAGGCATGCAGGCATATGTATTTACACTGGCTAAGCTACTCGAGGACGATGTCGCAGCTACATCGATCTGATCGGACGAGTACCCGCGCCAGTTTCTATAGACGAGTACCATAGCTACAGATAGCGCCGCAACGTCGGCCATCGCTTATTCCCCTATGACGGCTTATATTCTTGTCTAGGTACCTAATTAATAAAATCGCATAGACATAGATGTCACTTTGCGGTTTTCCCCCAAGACCAAGACTCCAACGATAGGCATTTTGCTACTACTCCTGCTTCTTTCTTTACATGCTCCAGCTCCGGCCCCCGAGACATGTCCGTCCGTAGCACGCGTATAGACTAGGCATATCGCAGCGCTCGCGTCTAGCAAGCCCGAGACCGAGACCGGGTTGTGGGCGTGGGCGGGGACTCGACTGCTGCCGCGCCATGTTATTCTCTCTCTTCTGTTGTATCTGTGGTCTGTACGTATGTAATATATATATATATATATGTGTGTGTGTGTGTGTGTGTGTGTGTGTATGTGTGCGCGTGTGTATAAGGTATGAAGCATATTCAAGCTCTTGCCTTGACCTTAGCGCCAGCTCCCATCATCTTCTGCGAGGGCAGCGGCCATTTATTGACGCCGTACCACCAGCGGCGCAGGCGCGCGCCCACCGAGGTCCCGCTGATCTGGGCATTCTTGTTCCAGTGGTGCCAGCCGTGCAGCGCCAGGTTGTATAGGACGCCTTGGGCGAACGGCATCATCATCTACATCATATACACACATTAGGTTCAGTGCACTCTTCGGTTAGATCCCAGTCCCAGTCCCAGTCCCAGTCCCGGGAATGAGAAAGAAATGCACGGGCAGGGCGTAGATAAATAAATAAACAAAGACACAAATAAATACCTGATCCCGCACCGTAATCCACGCCACCTTCCACCACGTATCCGCCTTCGCGAGACTGTGCAGGTAGCTCTGCTCGAAGCGCAAGTCCGGCATGGGCGGGAGATTCCTGGATCTGGGGTGGGGCTTCAGCACGCTGATTGGGATCTCGCTTTCGTCGTCGTCGGCTTCCTCGTAGTCGTCTAGGTCCGAGTCGATCGAGCGTCTTTCTTGCAGATGCACGGGCTGCTTTTCCGATAGCGAGGACGACGGGTTTAGGTCGTGCTGCGGCGACGGGTCCCGCTGGATATGTGCTGTCTGGATCGTCTCGGCGATCTGTGTTGGTATGTCTTCTGCCATGGTGTCTTGGGTTGGGGCGACAAGCTGTTTGCTGCTGTGTCGTATGTAGGTAGGTACCTATAGGTATATGAGGTAGGTATAATAGGTAAATAATAAATATTGTGTATGAAGCTTCAATGTTGAGCTTGGTGGGTTGTAGTCCCTGTAAATGACGTTGCGATAACAGGTGATAGCAGATAGCAACCGCCAGGATTAGGATGTACAGGGGTAATCCGTACTTTGGTAACTACCTAGGTAGGTACCTACTCTTCAAATGCATATATACATATAGGAGATATATCATAAATAAATGCAATAGACGGATACACCAAGACGTTTGTTCAGACGATCTTCCTTTATTCATAATCTACCTGTCTAACCCAGTTTATTCTTCATAGAACAGCTGAATCCATCCCACTTGTAGCAAGAAACGAATGCTAACTTATTTCTTACACCAAACCCCTGAGAAAGTGGTTTAAGACATGCTATATGGAATTATCTTCCAGATAAGCGCAGTTACTTCAGGGGATGAATCCCATTTTTGATGCTATAGTCATATCATAATCGTCAGTTAGCAACGATTCTTCCGAGCTTCCTAGCTTGTGCTTAGCAAAAGCAGATATCCCAGGCTCCCGTATGCCGTCATCCAGGGACGCCTTGTCAGTATCGTACACGTAAGGCCGTTTGTATTCTTGCATTGTGTATATTTCTGGTTCCGTGGATATGCTGGAGTCCGTCCGCGTAGTCTGCGTAGTCATTGACTCCTTTGTTTCTTCCTCTTCTTCGCCTGGTCCATCGATTGGTGAACCGACGTACCAATTATCTACTGCCTCCTGTATGTTAAAGATGATTGTCCCCGGTATAAGGCCCATTCCCTGTGGCAGTCTGAAGTTGGACGGGAAAAGTTGGATAGTGCGAGCCTCGGGGGTGAAGGCTGCAAAGCTGGCGTAGTACGGCTTGAATCGGGCACACAAATCTTTGAGGGCAGTCTCGAGATCAGAATAGCATCTTCTTGGCCATGGCTTGCTATTGTCGCTTTCGTCGGGGATAAAAACGTATACCCTAGTCTCTAAACGCCGAATCCTTTCCCTGATCTCACAGTCAGGGACCGGCTTGTATAGTTGGTACCCTTGTTCTCGCATGGTTACTGATGTCTCTAGTATGCGTTCAATCCGGTGCATGGGAACCTTCCAGTTCGTAGGTGTCCCGTTCAACTTGACACTATTTTGCGCTGGACAATCTGTAGAACCCTGATCGCTCGCGATAGTCGGAACATCCTCTTGACTGACTCTTGGTCCTGCTGTTCTCTCGGCAACTGCTGGATCGGGACGCTTAATTCGGACTGGGAAACGTTCCGGAATGGGAGAAGGTTGCTTAGCTATTGGCTCTTCCTGTCCTGTCGTAGCTTTGTCTGTTCCTGCGTTAGCCTTAAATCCAATGATAGCAATACAGCCATGTAATATCAGTGACCGTAGCGGTGATGAAGGACAGTGAAATGCAGAGTAAACGTATATAAATCCGACTTTTGCGGTAAATAGAAGACTTTCTTACCACTCGGGTTTGCCATATAAGGTCTATCGAGGCTATCGAATATACTCATATTGAAGACCGTGTTTGGTGATCGGTCCCCAGTAAACATTTCCTCTAATTTGATGTTTGCAACCATCGTGTCTAGAGCAGGAAGTCGAGGAACAGAATCCTGGCCGGATGACGTGCTGGATATATGACCCAAGCTATTGCGCCTTGGAATACCTTGAAAGTTGACCAACTTACCCGTATTTTCTGGACTGGTGTGATATTCGGTTGATCCATCTTGTGATGGTCGAGAGCTTATAGAAGAGCGAATACCCCTGAGTGACGACGACATAGAGCTGATGCTCTTCCGTATGACAGACGGGCGGCGGCCCTGGCCTTCACTGTCAGTAGAAGTATCCGAGGAAAATCGGTCTCTTAAAGACGACGAGAGGGAGTTGATGCCCTTTCGAATTAAGGATGGCTGTGGATCCTGTTTTTCCTCGCAGACTGCATTGTTCCCTATATGCTGCCATATTGGCAGAGCCTTTTTACGATCGAGACCCAGCACGAAACGCCGGCGTAGGGAGTGTTGCTTGGCTTTCAATTTTTCTGCCATGCCATATCGATCCTTAGTTAGCGAGGGCAATTGAGGATCTGTCAAGTATCCCAGATCTTCCATGTCTACTTCGGGGCGAGTCGTAGTGCGTTTGCGTAATTTGTCTCGGAGGCTAGCCATTATATATAGAATATAATCAGTGATCCCGAATAATAATTGACTGGTGCAGAGAAGAGTGGGATCCAAGCAAGCAGTAATGATAGAAACTAGTGGTCTAAATATTGCTTGGTGGGTTTGGCTGTCCAAGAATGTATAGGAACATACTAAAGCGAGTAGCAATGAGAAATATAAAAGGGAAAAAGCGAACCCGTAAGTCTTGTTAGATAAACACATCTAACCTAGAAGGTTTCGAACAGCCCATTGGTAGTAATATGCTCCTTCTACGGTATGAGCACCTACTCCTCCTATATGCCTCCCTCTGCAGGTGCGAACATAAGAGGTACAGGCGACTGCGATATTAAATGCTCGAACATTTCTATTACGGTAATTTACACCGAACAAGGGGCGAGTTATAGTTGCTTTTATTCATTCATTCGTTTATTTATTTATACAAGAGAATTCAAATGATAGTATATACACCTTGGGTGAATATGTTCTATATTCTTACATAAAGGGGTATTTTGGCCTTATGGTCCGTGAATATACGATTGTAATAATTATACATAGAATTCGGGCGAAGGGTACAGATAACTACCAGCTCCGAGTAGCAGAGGCTTTCCCGTACTCATATCCTCAAGCCTTTATTGGTTTACTTAGGGGATACGTTATTGGTCTACTCCGAGGATACTTCCAGGGTGTAGGTTTATGATTATCACCATCTTCACGCTCTTCGTCCTCTTCCTTAGTATTCTCGTCCTGGCGGAATTCAGGATACATTTCCTTCATCTCCTCGAAATGGCGCACAACAAGGCTATTCAGACTATTTCGTCTCTCTTCAATTTCTTTCTGATTTTTTGGGCGTAGCACATTGCTCGATATGACCCTATCGCTAGCAGCGATCATCTTTCGTGCCAGGGCCACAAGCTCTCGTTTCATGTTTGATTCCGGACCGTCCTCATCATACTGCCTTGCAATAACCAAATACGGTTTCCAGAGATTCTCGAGAGCTGTAGCGATCTGCTTGTTCCATGCTATCGTTGCATCATCGTTGTTATTTTTCAACTGATCCCAAAAACACCGCTTGCAGGCATGAGCTACGCGGAGATAGTTGCGCATAGTTATCGGATCTGGAAGTTTAAGCTTGGAAAGCATAATTTTTAAAACCTCGGTGGCGTTGTTGAAGGCGTTGAGGTTCAAATTGTCTCGTAGACAAGTGTTCATAGCTGTACGGAAGTTCTTAGGAAGCACCAACTCAGCAGGCATATCCCACAGACACATAACAGTTTGGCCACTGTTCTTCCCATGGCGTAGGGCTGTGAGCATGTGATGCCAGTTGTTGGCATCGGGTACAACGTGATACTTCTTAGTGAAGATATCCCAATATGGCTGCGCTCTTGACGTCTTCCCGGTCTTCTCGAGGGCGGCAAGAATCAAAGAAAGAGAGTTGTTTCCCGGAAGCGCGTGGCTAACTGCAGGGACACCGGGGGCCTTGATTTTACGGCTATCAACCGAGGTAGCTGGCTTCGCGTCTATATCATCTCCGCTACGACTCGCCCCTTTCTTAGATTCCCCACGGATGACGAGCATATCATCCTTCGGGATCATCATTGTTTGCTCGAGCAAAGCCTCTATAGATTCGGCATCGTGATATGTGCCCATTAACAGAACCCATCCCATCGCGCAGACTAATTCTTCATCAATAATGATGGAACCAGCCTTCCACTTCGATATAACTTCTTGCCATATGACTCTGGATCGTTGAATTGCTTGCGCCTTTGCTTCTGTAATTTCGGGAGTATCTACATCCGCAATAAGACCGTACTGGCGCCTATTAACCTTGCGTCGTAAGGCATTTAAGATGATTGTATATGTCAGGTTATTTGGTGCTCTAAGACCTTTGTTGGCGGTCTGAGCGATAGTGAACAACGACTCGATATCTTCGGCAAGAGCACAGACTTGAAGAACAGCGTTCAGATGGATCGTGTTGGGTGTTATGCGGTCGTTAGACAACATGTTGTTGTAGATTCTAATAGCCTCCGATATGGCTAGTTTTGGATGAGGTGAGATGGCGCATCCTTTGAAGATGATTGTATATGTTTGAGCGTTTGGAAGCTGGCCATGTTTCTTCATCTCATTGTATATCCTGATTCCAGCATGAAGTTTACCTTGCTGCAATACATAGTCGATCAAGTGATTCCAACTGACCGTCACCATTGTGTCCCTGCTGGCCTTTTTCGTGAGCAGCATAGCATCATCAAAATTGCCTCTCGCCAGCGTCTTCCTGACATAATCTTGAATGTGTAGCGGATCTTTTAAATACTGTAGCTGTTTTTGGGCGACCCATTCCCCCGGAGAGATGGGCTCTTTCCTCTTTGCATCATCCTGGTGTTCATCTTGCTGAGAAATCTTGGTCGGCGCAGTAGTTGTCGTATATTTTCTACGTTGGAGGGATAAAGCGGGCGTGTATATCGGCCGTACTGTCGCAAGGGTATTTTGTAGGCGAAACGTATGATTGATTGATGTAGAGAAAGCTTTTCTCGTACATGATTTGCAAGTAAACATAATTGCTCGCTTTACAAGCGTCGCAAAGGCACTGTGTGAGAAGAGCCGGCCTCTTAATGGACTTGAATTTGGAAGTTTATCGCATGCGAAATATGCGAAAAACAATTAGATGCGGGTTGCTATCCTTATCCCTTATCGATAATTAGGTCAATTTCGAAATTGTCCAAGAAGTGGACTGTGACGTTCATGGCGGGGTTCATAGGTACCTCAGTACATTACCTAATGTACCTTAGGTTCCTACCTAGGTAGGTTACATATGTAAGGTCCAGCCACTTTAAGCATTTGTATGGATGGAAATGAGCTTAACAGGGATTCGCGAAAACGCGTTGTGTAAATGGTGGCTCACGCGTCGCGTGTTTCCCTAAAGTGGGAAAGATCCCTTAAAATTATGTACCTACATACTGTTAATTGATACCAATTGATCCAGTTGATTTTACTCCGTACCTCCACATTTAGCACCCATTTACACACATAATACATACAAACACCGCCCACGCATTTCTTCCTCTTGCAACCTGGTCATGATTTATTCTTTGTAGCATACATCTTACGTTCTGTCTTGCCTCTGTCGAAATGTCCAAGTCACTGAACAAGCGTAGCAAGCTTGCCGAGCTAAAAGCTCTGCGCGCTGCTGGTAAAAAGGCTTACGACTCTTACGAGGTACAAGAAGATCAAGATCTATACGAGGAAGTCGACGAAAACCAGTACAAAAAGATTGTTCGCGACCGTCTGAACCAAGATGACTTCGTCGTCGACGACAATGGCGAGGGTTACGCTGACGACGGAAGAGAGGAATGGGACCGAGTACATACATATGAATCTGAGAGCGAGGACGACACATTACTTGGAGGGAAGCCTCGCAAGTCAGGTATTAGAGAACCATATTATTTATATATGTTTATATTAGGTACTTACACTATTGCTAGATAAGAAGAAGCGCGACGAGGAAAAGGCAAAACGGGACGCCAATGACCGCGACATCAGCGAATATTTCATGAAGGGCCAAGCTACTACCCAACAAAAACCAAAGGTATAGTCTGATCTTAGGGTTAGTTGTAATCGTGCAAGACTGATTTTGGTTAGGTCGTGAAAACCGAAGACGATGAAAGGTTCCTGGCGGACCTGTTAGGCGAGGTTGATGCAAACGTACCTGTTCCGATATCACGGGCCCCGAAGCGACATCGATCTCCCGAACGACGCCGAGCTCGTGTTCTATCGCCCGTTAGGGGAAATAGACAACCAGCTACCAAGAAGGCGAGACTAAGCGAGGAACGCTCATCGCCTGCGCCTCAGATGCAAGAGGTTTCCGTTGATGAGGATGCATTCCTCCCAGCTATGGATGATGACGATTTCCTGCCACCAGCGGCTGACGTACTTATGAGCGACTCTGTTCCTATTCCTTCCTCTCCCACTGCAAAGGTTGCCGCGCGAAAGGCCCAAGTTAAGGTCGAGCCAGTGGAAGAAGAAGACGAAGATATGATGGAGGTATCTCATGCCGGGACAATAAACGCTGCCAGCGTAAACTTGTCTGCATCTCGACCTATTAAAAAGCTGGCCAAACCTGAACCGTACCCTACACCTGCTAGCTCGTCTCCAATGAAAGCTGCTGAGGCCGATATTGATTCATCCTCGTGGAACGATCTCACAAATAAGCTGAATGTCGTCAGCAGCTCTCCCGTTGAAACCCGAAGCATCGGCAAGATTGATTATAAAGATGCTATCGAGGAGGACGGCTGTCTCAATATGTTCTGGACTGACTATACGGAAGTCAATGGCTCGCTCTGCTTATTCGGGAAAGTCTTGAACAAGAAAACGAATACTTATGTGAGCTGCTTTACCAAGGTTGACAATATTTTGAGGAAATTGTACTTTCTACCTCGCCAATTTCGTCAAAAGAACGGACAGGATACAAGCGAAGAAATAGAAATGACGGATGTGTACTCGGAAGTGGACGAAATCATGACTAAAATGAAAGTCGATATGCATAAGATAAAGCCCTCTACTAGGAAATATGCTTTCGAGCTCCCCGGCATCCCGAGGGAAGGACAGTACCTAAAGCTATTATATCCTTACACAAGTAGGTCTATTTGACGTCTCGTTTCTGCGCGAATATACACTAATGTCGACTAGAACCGCAAATCAACCCTGAGGTGGCCGGTGAGACCTTCTCGCATGTTTTTGGTACCAATACCGCATTGTTTGAGCAGTTTGTGTTGTGGAAGAACATTATGGGGCCATGTTGGCTCAAGATAAAAGATGCCAACTTCGGTGCTATCAAGAACGCTTCTCACGCCAAACTGGAGGTCCTTGTCAATGATCCTGATACCATCGCCCCCATGAGCGATTCCGATAACTTGGACGCGCCTCCTTTGACTCTTATGAGTATTGCTATGCGGACCGTTTTCAACGCCAAAGACAACAAACAGGAGATACTTGCGATAAGCGCTCGTATCTATGAGAATGTCTTGCTTAGTGATACTACACCTGCAGAAAAGCTCCCTTCGAGGACGTTCACGTTGATGAGGCCGAACGGATCAGCGTTCCCCTTTGGTTTCGATAAACTGGCGATGGGCAGGAAAAAATCACTCGTCAAGCTAGTGAAGCAGGAGTCCGAGATCCTGTCTTTCTTCTTAGCACAAATCGACCTTATCGATCCGGATGTAATTCTTGGTCACCAACTAGAAGGTGTCGACTATAGTATCCTGTTGAATCGATTGCACGAGAAGAAGACACCCCAGTGGTCGCGGCTTGGACGATTGCGCAGAGCAGCATGGCCAACATTTATAGGGAAAACGGGTGGCAATGTATTTGCGGAACGCCAGCTTATGGCTGGTCGTCTCTTATGTGACCTTGCCAATGATGCTGGCAAGTCTGTTATGTACAAGTGTCAGTCCTGGAGTTTGACAGAGATGTGCAATCTCTACCTTGGTGGCGATGTCCATAGACGAGATTTCGACAACGAGGCTGCTCTAAAGACATGGGCATCGGACAAGTCAGGCTTATTGGATTATATAACTCATATGGAAGCAGATACATATTTCATCGCCGCGCTGGCCCTGAGTACGCAGATGCTGCCTTTGACGAAGGTTTTGACGAATTTAGCAGGTAATTCGTGGGCCCGAACTTTAACAGGTACTCGAGCCGAACGCAACGAATACATTTTATTGCATGAATTCCATCGCAATAAGTATATCTGCCCTGACAAGCAGTTTTTCAAGGGACGGCCCAAAGCTGAGGAAGAGAACAATGAAGAGGAAGCTACAGATAATAAAAAGAAGGATAAATACAAGGGTGGTCTTGTTTTCGAACCAGAAAAGGGGCTATACGACAAATTCGTATTGGTTATGGATTTCAACTCCCTTTATCCTTCCATCATCCAGGAGTTCAACATCTGCTTTACAACGGTCGACCGGAGTTCACTTGTAAGTCTGCCTGTGCTATATCAATATGGGTGATGCGCTAATGCTTGAGGTAGTCGGATGATGATGATGATGCTGTACCGGAGGTACCGACGCAGCAGGAACAAGGCATATTACCAAGACTTATCGCCACTCTCGTTAGTCGACGACGGTCAGTCAAATCACTCATGAAGGATAAGAACGCCACAACCGAGCAGCTTGCCACATGGGACATTAAACAGCTTGCTTTAAAGTTGACGGCCAATTCTATGTACGGTTGTCTAGGATACACTAAATCTCGTTTCTATGCAAGACCTCTTGCCATCCTTACGACCTATAAAGGCCGTGAGATCCTTCGAAGCACCAAGGAACTTGCCGAGTCGAAGTCGCTCCAAGTTATTTATGGTGATACCGATTCCGTCATGATCAACGCCAACGTGGAATCGGTCGCGGACGCGCTCAAGGTCGGCCAGGAGTTCAAGAAGGCCGTTAACGAGCGATATCGCCTCTTAGAGATCGATATCGACAACGTGTTTAGACGTATCTTGCTACAAGCTAAAAAGAAGTATGCGGCTATCAACCTTGTGGAAGTACCTGGTGGCAAGTACATCGAGAAGATGGAAGTTAAGGGTCTTGACATGAAACGCAGAGAATACTGTGGTCTGTCGAAGGAGATCTCATCCCGTCTTCTTAACGAAATCCTGTCTGGTGACGAGACCGAAGTCTCCGTCCAACGCATCCACGAGTATCTACGCGAGGTCGCAGGCAAAATGCGAGAGCACGCTGTTCCTATCCCAAAATACATCATCTATACACAGCTAGGCAAGGCACCAAAGGAATATCCGAACGCGGATACGATGCCACAGGTCCAGGTTGCTCTTCGAGAAATCGCACGAGGCAAGAATGTCCGCCGTGGAGATGTCATCTCGTACGTCGTTACCGGAGACAGTAAGTCAAGCGAGCCTGTTGCCAAGCGCGCGTACACGCCACAAGATGTAATGAAGCCCGATTCCGGCCTCAAGGTGGACGTCGAATGGTATATCGGCAAGCAGATATTCCCGCCTGTTGAGCGTCTCTGCGCCAACATCACCGGAACATCAACTTCCCAGCTCGCTGAGCAATTAGGTCTCGACATTCGCCGGTATACCAGCAACTCAACCTTTAATCAGTCAGGATCTAACGACCACGAAATCCACCCGCTAGAATCCCAGATCCCCGACGATGTCCGCTTCCGCGACTGCGCCCGCCTCTCACTACGCTGCCGGAAGTGCAAAGCCTCGGCGCCCTTCGAAGGTCTGCTGTCCCCAGAGCAACCCGAAAATCGCGTCACGCCCCAAGGTGTCGCATGTCCATCGTGTTCAGCGCTCATCCCCAACCTTAGCATCGTGGCACAAGTCGAGCGGGCGATCCGCAACGAGACGGCGCGATACTACGAGGCCTGGCTCGTGTGCGACGACGCATCGTGCGGCAACCGCACACGCCAGATGTCGGTCTATGGCACGCGGTGCATGGGCCCGAAGGGCCTAGCGTCAGGTTGTCTCGGCCGCATGCGTTACGAGTACGGCGAGCGTGACATCTACAACCAGCTCGTCTACTTCGCGTCTCTATGGGACGTAGAGAAGGCCCGCGTCAAAGCAAGCTCTGGCGCTACTGGTCTAGGCGGGCAAGGTAACGGCGGTAGTTTGAACGCCGCTGAGAGAGAGAGGGTGCTTGCCCTTGCAGAACACAATCGTGTTCGCTTTAGCACGGTCAAGGGCGTCGTTGATAAGTACCTGGATAAGTGCGGTCGCCAGTGGGTGGCGATGGATACGCTGTTCGGGAAGCTGGGGTTCGCTGCTGTTTAGGTTGCCAAGGGGGTAGTCAGTAAATAGGATAGGCTAGGTACGTACGTACGACGGAATGAGGCTTGTTCGGGGTTCTATAGGTAGGTACACAATAGCGGCTGGCTGGCGTTCTGGTGTGGGATTCGGTTCGGTTCGGTTCCATGTGCTTGGTCTAGTCAAATACTGCATGTAATGGTTTATAATGAATCTATCCAAATATCGTTCAGAATCTGCTGGTGTTTCTTGTGATTGATTAATTGATTCCCTGGGACGAAAGCTGGCCGGCTTACCTGACGTAGAGCCAGCAAACTAAACTGTATGTGTGCACCACCGCCTAAGAAACAGCGTGTATGCATGACTATATGTTATCTTCAGCCTATTTGTTATTTTGCATGCGTCTGGTAACTACCTGTAGTTGGTACTTCAGGTATATAACACCTTAGCATAATGAGTTCGCAATTGAAGCGCCATCGAATAGCCAAGTTAAAAGAACCTGCTAGGTTAATAGAATCATTAATGTAGAGCATCCTTTAAATATAACTAGTAGCCATGGGCAGACGCTTCTAAGATCCTACAATGATATATACCAAGAATTATAATCAACAAAAACACAACGCATGTATTAATCAACTACCGAGGCTCTACGGAAAGACTCTCTAAAGCTAAGAGTATATTTAAGCAACATCAGGCAACATCACTTCTATCACGTCTATATCGAAAAAAGCATAAGAAGTTTACTCAGTATATCAATTTTTACGGCTGTCACTGGCTTGCTGTGTAAGATTAAGAACGGCGTCCAGGGAAGAAGATCGATTCTCTCCTCCCTATATAATATGTGCTGTCCGCGTCCGTTGGGTACTCATTACGCCTCTGCTTGTGCCGTATCGACTGTCGTTATGTAGCGACAGCGCCGAGCAACTGTCAGCAACCCTCCCTCTTCCCTCACGCCCCCTTCCGCATGTCTCGCAAACGAAAGCACCCAGCAAGGAACAGCCAGTGGTCAACCGTGACCAAGAATTCCAAATGCAATCAAGAATACACAACCAATTCCGTTGGTTTCCGCCGTCTTGCCAGACCCCTAACGACCGGATCCGCGTTTGCGCAACCCAACCCCCAAAAGTCGGTCATAACCGCGCTTTCGATGCCCTACTCCCGTCGTCCATATCGGTTTCGTCTGTCTTCGCTCGCTGCCCCTGGCGAGACGATCATCATTGCCGTAGTGCTAGAACGTGGCTCGTATGGTGAAAAAAGAAAAAAAAAAGATTCCTATCAAACACCCCCCATGATTGTTACTCGCCGGTAAAGGCAAGAGAAATGTAATGAAACACAATTTTGCGGAAAAGAAGTGAAGAAAGATCTCGGGGGATGTCGTCTTTATGGTGACAGGTCGTGGGAGGGTAAAGTCTATTGGGCGCGAGGTATCATAATGGAAAGGAAACCTGAAACTTTTGGAGACACATTTTAGAAACCCCCGTAAATGCAACGCAGTAAGTCCTGTCCTAGTCTATGCACAACGATGCAACCGTAAATGCAAGACGTTTCTATGACCATAGAAAACGGAGTCTAACTGCTTCCCTTGGATGCAGCTGCGTTATCCGGAACCACCTTAGTAAGAGCAGGCGACGCCGCGGTAGATGGGGGCGATGCTGGATTCTCCGAGTCCATGTTGGCAAGTAGACTAGGCAGTCAAGTTAGCAACTTTATAATCCAAGTTGATAAACGATGGAAACTTACCCGAACGAATTGGTACTGCTTTGCGCCTCTCTTACCGGGGGAGTTCCAGTCCTGGAGGAGGCACCGGAATCCTCGGCTCCTCTGCTTAGCGAACCACCGGGGCCCAAGCGACGACCGCTGTTGCTACGAGAGTTGAGCATCGACATAGGACCCAGCGTGAGGTTGGAGCTTGAAGTACGGTTCGCGCCACCCTTCAGACGGCGCAGGTCGTCCATACCGACTTGATTTTGCGCCTGTTGCGCATAGCCAGAGAAGTTCCTAGCATCACCACGGCCTAGTTGTGCTCGTCCAGGGCCTCCGCCTCGTTGGTTGCTTCGTGCAGCCTCGGCAGCTTTTTGCGCTGCTGCAGCCTCAGCTTCAGCGCGAACTTCCTCAAGCGTCTTAGGACCCTTGTTAGCTTCCTTGGACACCCAGTTGGCCCTTCTCAGATCGACAACGTCCATGAGCATGAACTTAAGACGACTAGGTAGATCAGGAAGGTCGATCATGCCCTGGATTCTACCGAAGTAAGCATCCATCATGACCCGACCCTTGTCCGTGGCATCCAAGTTGGCTCCGATAGTTCGCAGTAGCTTGGAGAGAGATTCAACCTCGGCGTCGTCAGGGATGCCAGGGTGATCAACCAACTTCTTGACACATTCGTGCATAATACGCTCAGTGAGCATACCCAGTTTGTACAGTTCACCAATGAACTGAACCAATCCGAGTCCGCGACGTTTAGCAGCTGCGGCAATGTAGTACTCGTCAGAGAGCAGAGCGGCCTCGAGTGTCTTTTTGTCCTCTCCTTCCTTCGGCTCCGGTAACGAAACCTTCCATCCGCGTTCGAATTCTTCTTGACATCGGTTAAGGAGGTACTTTCGGAATAGTGCGCCACCACTAACGACCTGCCCATTCTTGTCTTTTATGTTCTCGTCCCTAATGTCCGCGCTCATTGTTTCCAACATCCTCTTGCAGAATTTAGCATACATCGACGCCCAGTGGGCCTCGTCGGTAGCCTTCTCGAAAGTAAGCTGGATAACTTGACGGAGAGTTCTGCCGTCGGTCTCGTCCTTAGACTGTCCAGCAATCTGGAGGATCTGGTCCGAAATCTTGTCGAAATTCTCGGGCGTCATCTTGTTCAAAGCAGCCTTGACCTTACGTTGAACCATAGAAGGATCAAGCAGCGCGCCTTGTGCGACCTGGCCAGGGGGGGCAGACTGTGCAGCTTTGCCGATGCTACTCGGCTTCCAGCCGGTCGACGAGGTACTAAGAGCTTCAATCTTTAGACCCGCGGTGAGAGGCATAGTCTTAGCCGCCTGAGCTTCCACCTTACCAGTGAAAGTGCCTTGTTTGCTAGCATTCCGACGACTTCCCTGTCGTGGGGAATGAGGCATGCTCATGTTAGAACTAGACGGTTGTCGGCCCATTTGGTTACCGCCAGGAAATGGTCCGCGGAAGCTGCCGATGGCATTCATTGCTGCTGGTCGTGACATTGACTTATCGGAGCTCATTCCGAATCGCTGAGCGGACGTCGTTCCAGGAGGTAAGGTTCGACCATCAGCGAAAAAGGAGCCGAATGTTGTTGCACCAGGAGCCCCAGGCCTTGAAGGCTGTCGACTAGATAGACCAGCTGGTGTTCGAGCGGATCCAGACCGGCCACTGTCGCTATCGCCAATAAGGGTCTTGACTTGCTGGTGGAAATCAAGGGAAGGCTGCTCCGTAAAGACCTTTTGGAATTGCATTAAAAAGGCAGAATCATACTTAAATGATGTTCCCTTCTTTGCCACCGCAGCATTCAGAGCAGGATTAGGTGATTGAATTCCCGCGGGATAAAGGTCGGCCCTGATGGAACTGGACCCAAGAAGCCTGGCTGTCTTAAGAGACTGGAGCGCAGCACTAGGTTGAGCAGGCTCAACGGACTTGGTGTTAATAGGAGCAAGATTAAGAGCAGCCGGCTTAGGGCCACGCCCGCCTTGCGTGGGTTTAGTACTCGCAGCAGTTGGAGGCTTCTCGTCGAGGGAAAGATTGGCCAGTTTCGCAGTAGCCTCGCTCGTCGAAGGTGCGTCTGCCTTCTTTGTCTCGCCATCAGCTAACTGGTGGATGAGGGCTTGGACTGATGTGTTGGAGCTCTCTTGAGCCCGCCGACGCTCTCGCTCCTCCTCGAGCCGTTCCATTTCAGCCTCGGCTTCGCGAAGTTTGCGATCATTCTCAGCGGCGTTCGCCAACCGTGCCTCCTCCTCAGCCTTCTTCTTGGCGGCTTTCTCGGCTTCGTATTTGACACGGCGCTCCTCTTCCTCTTTTTCGCGCTTGGCATCCTCTTCTTCCATCTCACGGATAATACGTTCTAACTCCTCATCATCAGGCTCGTCTGTAACCTTGGGAGCCTCCTCTTTCTTAGGAGCCGCCTTCGCCGCTTCACGTTCCGCCTTCTCCTTCTCCTCGGCTTCCTGTCGTGCCTTTGCCTCTTCAGCAGCCTTAGCCTCTTCTTGTGCCTTTTGCTCTGCCTTCAGGCGCTCGTCTTCCTTGGCCTTTTCAGCAGCTGCCTTGGCCGCTTCGTCCTCCTTGGCCTTGTCTGCACTGGCGGCCTGCTTCATCTTCTCCTTGAATTCATTCCGCACTTCTTCGGCCGTCTTAGAGTTGCTTACACTTTCGGCTCGCGAATGAGCAGGCGTAGCAGTTCTTGGCGTCGCTGTTTTCGAAGGAGGCGGGGGGGTAGAAGAGACAACTGGTGGCGTCTTAGATTGGTGATGGCTTGGGGCGGGCGAAGCTGGTCCTTTTATTTTGCTCAAGTCAACCGCCTCACCAGCTGGGTTTTTGATCGTGATAGCCATGCTCTTTTTAGGCGGCCGATTGAATTGGGGAGAAGAGACCACTGCGGGTTTCATCTGCGCAGGTTGGGATTGAGGAGTGCCTTGGGCGACGATCGGTGCCTGGTTTTGACCAGTACTCGATGCAGGGCGATGGTCCGCGGATACCTGTGAGGAATTACGAGACATCGGTTGCCCTCCTGGGGCATTGTACGGGCCTGGGGTGTAAGGGGTCTGGAAGGCGGGTATGGGAGACTGGCCTCCGTGCATCATTGGATATACTGGGTATCCAGGGACATGCATAGCTTGTCGGGGGTCATACCCGGTATAGTAATTCTGTTGTTGTACGCTAGTTAGTAATCTGTCAAAATTGCCACTCTCTGGTGACAGATCAATTCGCGCTGGATTAGGCGGATATGAAGCAATGGGGAAAGGCTGCTGCAGGGGGATAACTGGGACTTCTCCAGTGAATGGCACTTCCGTTTTCTCAAACGGAACAAATCCACGATACCGTGAACTATCTGCGGCGAATCGCTGATCCGAACGCTTACTATAGCGTCGGGACTTCTGACTAAAGTCTTGGTGCTCATTGTCGTAAGAAGAATCGGACCGTCGGTGATTCGAGAACCTCTCGATCTCGCGACGGTTTCCCCTTCTTTTGCCGACTTTGAGATATGGACGATCTTGGTTAAGGGGAGGTAATGGATTGGGGTGCTTTACTTGTGGTACCTGTCCTTGGCCCATAGGAGGAGCGGTCGGGTAGAAAAATGGCATGCCGCCCGGCGGAGGCATATTCTGGGCGTGGTGGGGCATCGCTGGTGGGAGTGCCGGGCTGCGATGTTGTGGTGGAGGAGTGCCGAACTGCTGCTGGCGAGCATTTCCAAAGTTAGGTGCTACGCCGCCTCGTCCCGAATTCTGGGGGCCTCGGTTGTAGGAGTTAGGGGGATATCCCATGGGTTGTTGGTGGTTGAACGAGCTGTTGAACCCTCGACCGCGACCAGCGGACTGGAAGCCGCCCCGGCCCATGTGAGGAGGACCTTGATTGCTCATGTCGCTAACATTCGAGCCTCGTCTCATGTGAGGGGTGTGCTGCGATCCCAAAGAGTTCGGGTCCTGCGAGACGGAGGTAGCTCGTATGTGAGAACGCTGCAGATGCTGGTTAGTTATGAATTCAGGTTGCCATAGATGGATGGTAAGCACTCACGTCGTTATCGGGGAAACTACCAAAGGTCATACCCTGTTGGGCAGTTCCCGAGGGAGGTCGTCCGCCGCTAGCAGAAGGCTGCGGGATGGGAGAAGGTGAGTTCTGAGGAGAGGTTACACGAGGATTGGTGCTGTCAGGGATAGGGATAGGAGCCGATCCAGTCTGAGGAGAGCTGTGAAGCACAGCAGGTGACTCTTGAAATCCAAATTTGATATTCGCCTTGCCTCCTGCGGTACCACCGTTGGTGGAATAGTTGTTAGGTCCGTTCGCGCTAATAGTTACGGAACTCTTTCGGCTGTGGTCAGCAAGTCCGTTAGCATTCGATGTGCCGTGTGCGACGGGAGGAACAGTTGGGATGGCCGGCATGATGTTCGGTCGGCCGTTCATAGGCGATATCGAAGACGACTTAGCATGGTGCGGCGCAGATCCTGAGGTTCCAGCCGCAACAACAGGTGCGTTCGAGCCGGGAGCAACCACCGGCGTAGCAGATGGCTTTTTTGTTGTTCCGGCAGCAGAAGCGTACGACGGCGTCGTGGAGTTGTTAACCGCCGACCCTTGGTTAGGCGAAGTCATAAGTAACAATGTATTGAGGCTACGAGAGCTGGAATTTGTATACTTGAGGGACTCGTTCTTAGCTTTCTGCGTTGTGAATCGGAGGTCTTTCTTTGGCGCTTAGCTGCTAGAAAGAGACTAGATCGCAAAGCAGGCGGTCGAGGGAAAGTAGTCGAATATCAAATCCGAGTTGAAGACTGCAGGAGCAGATGATGTAGTCAATCGTAGAAATGAGTGACGATCTCGGTTGGACGAGTTGAAATTTCGTCAATTAAATTAAGGTGTGCGTGTTTGGTCGTCGTCTTTTTTTCTTCTTCTTTCTGACGGGAACAGAAACGCAAGCGTCGATGGCAAAGCCTGGGTCTGTCCGTGAGAGTAAGGAAGAAGAAAAAAAGGTGAAGGCGAAACGGGGTATCTATCAGAATGGTAGAAAAGAGCGTCTTCGTGAAATAAATAGAATCCTATTGGGATTAAGACGAGAGGTAACAACGGAGATAGGTAGGTCTAACTTTGAGGTTGAGGTTACGGGCACGGGCGCGCGCGCGGACTCCAAGTCGATCTATCTCGTTGCGGAGAGATAATTAATTGAGAGGAGAGGAGAGGAGAGGAGATGGATTCCCTGTAAAGAAATACAGAGAATGCAAGAAAATTCCGTCCTCGAACTCGATGGAGATGTCAAGGAGGAGAAAATAACAACCTTCAGAAACGTAATCTCTTCCTGAGGTTGCGTGGTTGATCTATGATCAAAAGGTGGTGCAGGAGAGTAAAAAAAATTATGATGGGAATTTTTTGGGAAGGGTAAAGAAAACCGGCTTGGATTTGCGACTGGGTCTGGGTCTCTCTCTTACCGCACACAACCTTTCCATTAGGTACGCACTACACATCAACGCTGGGGCACTTCAAGTAGTAACAAGTAGGTACGCTAATGGGGCAATGGGCACCTGGAGACTGGACCAACGACATGCACAGACGCTGTAAGATCGGCCCATTTTTAAAAAATTATCGGGCTACGTATGTACCATGACACTTAAAATATGCTATCTCGGTACTTTTTATTTCTCGACTCACTATCAAGAGGTAACCCCTCAACTCCAAAGTATGTTCATTTTTAGCATTTTTATACATTCATGTTCTATCCCTGGCACGCTACACAGATACACACACTTGTTCCATCGTGTTTTCCAAGAAATAACAATCATAATAAAAAGAGAGCAATGATGAATAATGTATAACTAGGTTAGATTATAACCTGGAAATTTTTTTTTTTTTTTTTTTTTGTTTTCTTCCTATTTGCTTTCTACGGTACGTGGATGTCTGCGGTGAACTGGTTCCGTCAGTAAAAAGATGCGTCGCATCTATGACCTTGTCTCCTAAATCCGAACCTTGGCCGTGTATTGGTTTGTAATTTGGCATAGCTACCTGATAGTTCATTATATTATGACTTCTTGATTTCTTGCATGACTACCTTAGGTACTTGCCTCCTTTATCTTATTCGGATCTCCCGTTGTACCTATGTAGTGAATGTTTGAAAATGAGCTACCTGCATGTAGATCGAAAAAAAAAAAAAAAAAAAAAAAAAAAAAGGCCTCTCTAAGCCGCTAACGACATCAGTTATATAATGTACGTATGTACTAGTCTTGACGTGCCTTCCATTAAGAAGAATGTTGGCTCTTAGGGTTTGACTCCAACTTATCCACTATCCACCTATCTATTTTGTATTGGCAAGCACGAACAATTATTATATTACCCATGCCGTATGTATGCTTTAATTACCTAACCTTGATTGGATGGATATTTCCTTCTTCTTATTTTCTCTTCTTCTTCTTCTCTTTGTTTCTCAGTTTGTCAATTCAATATTCTTTACTTCACTTTCTACCGAAGCGAATATATATAAGTTTCTTCACTTTAGTAAATTCAGCTTCTTGGCGAAACTCTATCCACTCCCTCTTCCGACGGGGCGTAGACAAAAGTAAAAATTTGTTGCATCGTTCCATAGACTTGTACTTGGTGCTTAACGATACTAGATACGCTAGTCAATCATTTCGTTGTCCCGTTGGAGCTGTAAAAGGCGCCTAGAACAAATCGTCCCACCTGGGAAATATGAATTTGGGGGGCGTCTGGAATCTGGAATCTGGAATTGCATGTGTTAGGTAACTTTCCCACAACTGGTAACCCGAGTAGAATAACTCGGTCACGAAAGATATCCTGGATATATTTCAAATCTACCCTTCTTAGGTATATACGTATTCCTTTAAATAATACAATTATGAGAGGGCCTAATCAGGTCGAATCAAAGGTAGTATATAATAGAAATCAACGTAACCTCACCGAGACCTAGACATCGGTTAGCCCCCTGCTATGCATTCTCAGGTTTTCCCATCTCGGGTTAATACTAAAGGAGGTAAGTATATGCAACCGCCCATCTCCAGAAATATTTCCCATCATAACGGTTAAACGTAACAGTTCGCTTGCAAAATGGCCGAGGAACGACCCCCTACACATTATATTTCTCCCTTCTACTAAAGCTACTTCGAGCTCCTCGTATAAGAAAGATTATAGAAATATGAAATATACAAATATAGATGCTCTATGCGCAGTTGGCACACGAGCAACGGCATAGCATGGCATAGCATGGCATGTCAGGTGCGCAATTACAACGAGGTGTTGACTCACCACGAAATCACGCATATATGACGCAGTTTCGAGGTAAGCTAGACCCGTTGGCCTGGTTTCTAAGAGGGGGAAACGAACGAACTCGCGGGCTATGTACATGTATGTATGTATGCGTGGGAGCGTATAGATGCCTAATATATGTAGGTAGGTAGATGCAAATTTGGTGTGGCGTGACTACCTACGTATAGAGTATCTGCTATAGTGTAACGAGTCAGAATCCTTCTGGAACCCGAATCTACCTAATGTATGTAAGTGGTGTAATGTATGTAAGTGGTGCCGCAGAACCGGCTCTACCTACATGTATCTATCAATCACCTATAGCGATTAGGGCAAAACCATGACACACACGCACGCACGCACGCACACACACACACACGCACACGACACAGACACCATATACCATATACCATATACCATATACCATCAAAGTGCGGCTTGTCTTAAAAAACAGTTCTGCTACAGAATGCCCAACGGTTGTCCAAGCCTATTAGGACACGCGCCCGCATGGCGGAACAGAGGCTTGGTGGAAAAGCCCCGTTATAGCCCTAATGCTAATGGAGTAAAGTAATACAGGGCTGACATCCGCCCGTCATCATTGGCACGTTAGCACGGTGGAGGCGTTTTTCTAGGGCTCAAGCCCATTCCGTTCTTGGTTGGGATATTTCGCGCTTATATACCTTAGGTAGGTACCTACCTATGTATATACTATATAGTACGTCCTAGCGAAAACCCGTGGGGAAGTAAAAGAACAAGAGGTAATTAGTCTTGAAAAGGATAGTCTTAAACTTTACCCCCCCTTTTAACGGTGGCACTGTGTACCTATGTAGGTACGTAAACTAGAGGTAATCAAGTGAATACATCAAAGCAAGTCTACGCCCCTATGTTTGTTGTAAACAGTCATTATTAACTTTTCACAACCATCCCGAGTTGTGCAGATCCCCAAGTCCATCGTACCCACGTCGAAGTTGTCAGTAGCTCCTTATACACAGGTTTACGTCATTTACGCTGGGATCGCCCCCCTATAGTCATTTCAATTGGACCTTTTCTCAACTATGCTTCCTCAGCCTCAATTCTGTCGCTCGGTACGTCCTCGTCGACTTCTTCATCGCTCTCACTAACATAACCAACCTCATCTTCCTCCGCAACAGGCTGCAACACTTGCTCGGGTGGATCGACCGTTCCCGGTAAGCCGCGCTCCGCACGTAGCTGATTTATTTTTGTGGTTGTCATCTCGTAGACAAACTGGCCCAGATGTTCGATTCCTTCCATTACTGCTTCGCCAGGTACGGTCGTCCCGTCTTCTTCCGCCTGCATGCGTTCCGAAGGCCACATCTCACCAGTTGCGAGGGCAAGTTTATCTGGCCGTTGAAGTAGCAGCTCGAAAGCTGGGCGTAGCTCGTAGCATGCTTCAAAAATCTCTCTTCGGCCAAGGATATATAATCCGAGTCGGGCACGAGAGAGCGCCACAGTCAGACGCCGAATATCTCGGAGGTAGCCGACCCTCGATGTGCGCGTAAGTGAAAGGATAATATCTATCTATAGTTAGAAATACTGTTTTATAAATAGTGAAATTGGGGTTTGCTCACAATCGTTCTGCTCGCCTTGGTATTTATCGACAGTTGTAACTATCTTAGGCAAACCGAATATAGGATTCTTTGCGCATCGATGGAACAACACATCTTTGATAAGGGCTCGCTGACCAGCGTAGGTGGCAAGGATACTGATTTTTGACGCTGGGTAGCCTAAGAGCCGCATGTACTGATATATAGCAACTGCGTATTCCGCCTCGCCTAGATTCTGAATGAAATGAGGCGTCGGTTCAACTTCCCCATGGCCCTTGTAGTCGGGGACGCTGATGAATTGGTAATCATATTTGAATCCAGCATTAGCAGTTTGGAACTCCTTCAGGCTTTCGACATGTGGTAGGTTCCCTAGGTTGGGGTATCTCCATTGGTACAACGCGGCAATAGATGGGCGGGCACGGCCTTGATGGTCGAGTGTGATAACAGGTACTCCTAGGCGGACGAATCGAGAGAAAAGGGACTGCTCAAGATTGGCATAATGTCTAAAGGCAAGACTCTGTATGACAGGGGAGTTCTGGTAGTGGTCACCGCAGAGAACGACCCTTTGAAGAGCCATCTGTCCACCTTCAGGCTTTTGCATAGCTAAAGGAATGAAACTCTCAACTTCAGTAACCTGGGCCGCCTCCTCCATAACCACGTTGTCGTAGTGGAAGCCAAGGGAGGCAATCTCAGTGCGGCGCATTGCGGCATGTGTCGATGTCATGGCAATGATGCGAGCTTCATTCGTTAGAAGATAGTTAGCCTTGTCTCGATCTCGCCGTAGGA